AGTGGTGTCACTTTAACCTGGACAGAATGGATCAATCCATATCGTTACATCTGGATCACTGCTAGAGGGTGGCCCATAAACAGACGTATATTATCTCTGAATATTGACAGGAAGTTCCATTATGGGTCCAAATAATGTGTCGAATGCTTCCTGACACAACACACAAGGGTAACACAAAAATGAGGTACATAAAATTTGATCAATAGATAAAGAACGTCCAGGGGACTAATCAGGAACTATTCGGTAGTCAATTATTACTCACTGAGGAACACCAAAACAAGTCTCATTATGGGAGTACTGCTTAAGCCCCATTTCCACTACCCTTTTGAAACAGTGCCGAGATCGGTCCGAGCATGGTAACTGAGTTAACTGTTGAGTGTAAATGGCAGGCATAACTAAACGGGACCATGCCAGACACAACCAAACTGCGCTAAAATGTTACTAGTTCATCAGTTGGGCTCGGCGTGGTTCAGTTGAGCAGACCTCATCATCTCCTTACAGTCCGCCTTCGTAATCATGAAATTTCAGACATCATAAAAATCCTAGCTTCCCTACCATGCAACACGATTTCCAGTATTGATTCTGCTTAGCAGTGTGATGAACCTCAACGTCAGCCATTGTGTCCTGCGTCTGTAAGCCCTGATTAGACTATCGTTTGTTGTATCCACTTCCCAAAAGCCGACTGTGTCAATTAAATTCACCAAAGTCTTCTTCACCTGACTCTCCCCAGATTTTGTGAATATTATGGGCATCGCCATGTTGATTTGCTTGTTTACCTCTAGAGGGCAGTAGTGCCATAGATTGCCAGTAGGAGATGAGGAACCATGCTGGCGTAGTCTATAAATGGTTGTAAGGAACCGAGTTCGGCACGGTTTACTGCTCCAAGCTCGGCATGGATCGGTTTCAGAGGGTAGTGTCAATGGGGCTATAGTTACCTGGGAAACAAAGAGTACCTAATCAGGAATGAATGAATAGTTACCAAAGAAATAAAGAGTAACCAACCAGCAACTAACTTGTAGATACCATGGGAAAAAAGAGTAAAAAAAAATCCAGAAATAATTGAAAAAAAGAAAGCAAAGAGTAATAAATCAGGAACTTACATGTAGTTACCAAGGAAACAAAGAGTATCTAATCAGGAACTACTAGGTAGTTACCAAGAAAACCAAAGAGTAATTAACCCGGAAATATGTAGATAACCAGAACATATCAGGGGACTACCTGTTCATTAACAAAGGATAAATTCTCCATGTTGGTTCTGAATAAATTTTACACCTCACAGCTTATATAATACGTGTTTCAGGTCAATACACTATTCTATTGGTTCTCTTTTGTAAACCTGCTGATGGAAGAAATGATCAACTTTATGTTTTTGTACCACTTTCATCTAAACTATGTCTGTTACATGCTGAGTACCAAATTATTGCCTTTCTATTATTTCAAGAACTTTGTCTGTTCAAACATTATGCCAAGTAGTTACAAAGGAACTAATCATTACCTTTTTGTGTATCCTAAAATCAAGTGAAACATCAGTCCAAATACTTACTGAGGACCTAATTATTGCTTAATCACTATCGGACCATTGGTTAATGTTTTTGTAAACCCTCAAGTAAAGTAAAACTAACCCTTAGTTCCTGATTAATTCCTTTATAAGTAACTACAGAGCTGTAGAGGTAAGAGACTCAATTCACAACAACGGGCAACATTTTGTAGAGCAACGGCAACTCACAGTAGTGAGTTAGCAGAGCATGGTAGTAGAAAATGTAAAATCTTTTAATATAAAGTTTTTAACATTACATTCAACTGAATAGGATGAAACACGTTTTAGATAAAAAAAATAAAATAAAAATTTGACATGCTAACAACATTAGTATAATATGGAGTCCAACCTCTAAATCAGTAAGCTTTTTCAGAATAGTTGCAAAATAATAATTGCCCAACTATTAGCCCAATTTCAGATATATTTTAGCTGTTTTTCCAGTCGAAAGTACAACAGTGATTGTTGATGCTTTGTGCTGGCTTCCCTTCTCAAAAACTGTCCTATGTTACTTTAGAGAGTCAGAACCTTCGCTACAGAGTCACGTGACCTAGTGCGAAAATAACCACAGCTTTTAGCTAATTAAGCTAAAAACAAACAACAAAAAATGCTCCTACCTGATCGAAACCTATTTTTGGTTCTCTGATGTGTTTTTTTTCCTTTATAACAGTTCCGTGTTGCCAGGTCTAGTGCCCCCTAGTGACTAAAAATTACACACCACTGTTTCAAAGTTTTAAAAAATAAATCAAAAAAGTTTCACCAATTCTCTATTTAGCATTGGCCTACATCAGGCTTTCTAAAACAGATTTTGTGGGTAAATTGGATCCCTTGCTGCTTTATTATAAATTATTCTCATGTAAAGCTTAAACATAATCAAAGTGCAATTATTCTTTTTTTAATTTGAGGGTCTGTTTAGGACCCACAACAAAAGGACCGAAGAGAGATATTTAAAAACCAGCAGCACAATGCTTTGCTGAAAGCCTTAATCGCAATGCAAAAAAAAAAAAAATAAGGCCCGTACTCAGGCAGGCAAACATGTGAACATCTTTTATCTAATTACTGAAAAAATGAATGCTGCGTGACTGTGTTTATTAATAACGCTGTTGACAAAAACATCCCAGTGGAAGCTGGAAATGTTTCCTCGTATTAAAGCACATTAGCGGAATTATTATTAATGTGCGAAGGCTGCATCTTTGTAACACCTCCACCATCACTCACAACGGGAGGCTGCACTCATTTGTTTAACTTAGAAAGGGCCACTTAAGAGAGAACATGACAATATCAACCGGGCTTAGTCAACGGGTGGTTAAATGATCATTGCACAAAACATTTCAGCAAGACAGACAAACAGGTCCCCCTAATGATTTCCCATAAAGATGTTTGGAAAAGAGCTAGAGCGATGCACGACCTGTCTCATACACTGGTAACTATAAATGTTGATGTGACGAAGTGGAAATGGTCACAATTTGCTAGTTCTTGCCTATTCATTCATTTTTAGCTCCGCATTCCCATCAATACAACAGCCGAGCAGTTTGTTCCCTCTGCTTACGACATGATGTGCTCACCATGACTGATCACAGTGGCGTTATCACGCCTCTGATTGTGAGTTTCTGTGTGGGCTGGCACCACTGTGACATTTTTGATGAATTATTCTTCATTTTAGCGAGATTCCTGTAAATGTAGAGAAAACCGACTTTCTTCCTCTGCAGTCTTCACCTTTCGCAGGTCTCAGAGACAACACGCTCCTCCAACAAGCATTTCAATGGCCTCTTCAGAGTCGGTGCTTACCTCACAAGCAGGTTGAAAGAACACGCTGTCGCTCGGAAAATTGGTTCCACCGAGGCACAAAATCTTTACTGGCCAAGCATCAAGAACCAATTGTTTCTGGCAGGAGGTTTCACAGGCGTGGTCACTTTTTTTTGGGCTGTATAGAAAAAAAAAAGCACCCAAGCATATAGAATAAAAGTCTAACAATTAAACATTCAGTAAGCAGTAAAAACAGATGGGTGAAATCCTATAGTACATTATTATTTAGCTTTTTGGCTATTTTAGCTACACTTTATTCTCCTTTTGTCATGAAACCTCCTTTAAAAAAGGAGATAACATTTTGTCAACATTTAGACATGTTTATTTACATAAATCTACTTTTTAATCACATTTACATAATAAACAGCGACTGTCAAACTCCAAGTCAACATTTTCTTGTGTTTCTTCTTCAGCACATCTGAATAAAAAAAAGAAAATCAATGCATTTGCACCGTAAAAAAGAAAAAAAAAGAAAACAAGGATGGATTCAATCAGAATCAGAATAGAAAGTCCCACTATTTAGGTATATTTATATAAAATAAAGTTGGAGCTTTTTGCCCCGTTAACTTTTTAAAAGAACAAAAAGCAAATCATCAGGTTTATGCACTTAATTATATTTGATGAAGCTATACAGAAACACCATTTCAACACAAGTGAATTTATAAAATGAAAGATATCTACCGGTACTATTATCCAATCAAACTAAAATATATCAAATATATGTTATATAGCTTTCAGATTCAACTAATTTGCAGGTATACATTTTTATATTTTATACAGTCAGAAATATCCAAATATCCAGATAAAAATGAATAAAAAAGACTAAATAACACTAAAAATAAATGTTTATAAATAGGAGTATGTGGATGTGCTAACTTCTTTCTCTCTTTTTAATTACTTGGCTCCAGAATAAATTCTGAAATGTTGAAATAAATAGAGGATGTTAAAATCTGAAATCCTGTTTCTCCTTCCTGAAAGATGAATGAGTTTCAGATTTCTGAAAATGCTTCAACTAAGGAACCAGTCAGTGAGGAAAAGCAATCTCTGATGGCTGTTTCCATTCATCATCTCTGTGTTATAGGCTGATATAGAGAGGAGCGACAGAATAAATGTGGGTCAGGGATTGAAGGTCAAGCAACCGACCTTCTGCACCTGGTTCACACTTTTATTGGAGACTCAGACATCAGAGTACTTTGCTTCATTTTAAATCACCTTCCAGCTGAATCTTGCATCCTTTAGCAAAAGTCTCAGACACAGCTATGCTGTTATATGAGAACTCTTTTTCAAAACTCACACTAACCATCATCTATATCTTTCTATCCTTTATCAGACAGAATGAAAATAGTTGAGCATAGGTTTCTGTTGCTTCGGGTATGACCCAAGTTGTGCTTTAAAGGCTAATCCCTGCAGCCAGATATAAACTGGAACAAATCCCCAACCTCTGCTATTGGAAAAAGTCCAATTTGTAAACCACAGGATGATTATTGCCTAAGGTTGTGCTCTCGCTCAATCCCACCTACGCGGTCCATCTCCTGATGTTAGCTGAACACTCTTACACCACCAACGCGTTTAACTGACCACACAAATCCAGCTTATTTTCTCTAAATGTTGGGTTTGATGTAATATTTCTGCCACTCTGTGTGCCCTCTCTCCTTGTTAGGCTGGAGCCAGATCCCACAGGCATTACCTCCCAGATTCTGGAACTGCTGACTCCTGCTTTAAAACTCGGCTCCCTGCTGGGCTCTTGTCCGTCCCTGCCTGCCTGGCTGTGCTGAGCATGAAGATCCCCGTGTGGTGCCTGGTGGTTCTGCTGGGATGCCTCTTCGCCCCTGCACGCTGTGACTGCCAGGGGGAATGTGTGGCCTGTGGGCTGCTGTTACAGAAGCAGCAGCTGGAGGAAGCCTTCGATACCATAGTGAGTAGATGGGTGCATGTCACTCTTTTTGTGGTGGGTTTAAATTGTGGAGCATGTGTCTGTAGATTAACATGCAAAAATATTTGAAAGGCCCATGAAGCATGAATATTTTGATGTTGCAAAGAGAGCATCAAGAGCAGACACAAGTCTACATTATTTCATGTAGTAATCCAAAAATATTAAGGTGTAACTGCCTAATAATTAAAAAAAAAGTAAAACCAATCTATAGTTATATTTTTTGTTGAATTTCTTTTAGATTTATTGATCTGTACATTACTTCAGTCCAGGTTTGCCAACTGATTGGTCAACATTGGAGGCTTAAATTCACCCTGAATTAAATATATGATTTTCTTTTTAGAAACTTTGAGTTTCTAAAAAGTGTCAAAAATTAAATTATATAATAAATCATATTTTTTTATATTTTACATGTCATAAAGGGATTGACATAAATACAGCATGTTAATTAATAATGGAACTAATTCATCCATGTTTCTTCAAACATGCAGATAAAAATCATGGTGTTTTAAAAGTCCCTGTTTGCTGATGAAGATTCTCAGTCATCCAGGTCATAGTAATTCCGTAAAACTTTAAAAAACAATCCACTGGATTTGGTTTCCAAGATTTGAAGACGTTTCGCTACCTCTCCAGGAAGCTTTCTCGAGCAAAACGTCTTCAAATCTCGGAAACCAAGTCCAGTGGATTGTTTTTTAAAGTTTTACGGAAAAAGTCCCTGTTGTTTATCAGACCATAACATTTGCCAGGATAGCTGATTTAAGCCCAGTTAAAGGATGTTTATGGTGTTACTCGTGGTAATGTCGCATGTAGCCTGTTGAAACATAAAATCTGCAGAGTGGTGGAAGCTTTTAGCTGGACATAGTAAACAACAGTGTGTTTTCAGCTGAATTTGGTCTTATAATAACAACTCTAGCTAAAAATGTTCCTGTAAGTGGGATATATAGGCTACTTTTACAGATAATAACAGCCCTGCTGATATTAACAGCCAAACAACTAGAGATCATAGTAATGTTTGATCAGGTTCCTGTATGGAGTTACATCGGTCAAGTCCACTGGAACGTATTCAGCCTCTATAGATCTGCTAAAAATCGAGAAATCTTTTATATTTTAAATCCGCCTATAAGATCTTGAAGATTATAAATTATTTTAAGGTGCTTTTATGCCTTGTAGTTTGGAATCATCAAGGTGCACATCCAGTGAGATAATCTCCAAAATCAGCCGTTGAGGCTAATTGAAATAGCTAAGCGAGTTCACTTTAGTTAAGTTTATTATTTTACTCTAACTTAGCAGTTACTTAACTGCAATAACATGTTTCCAAATGGTAGACCATGTGTATGCAACACTAATGAGGGCCGAGCTTAGGAGAGGATATGCACTTCTGTTTTCTTCCTTTCCCCATTATTTACTTGGTTCAATATAACTCACCTTTAAAATGTAATTTTTAGTACGGTATTTTAAAGTAAATAGTGAGAACACTGCATGGATTACTCATCAAAATGGTGAGAACAAAGAGATCATTAAGGAACCGACCAGCTCTACTGTAAAGCAGCAGACTGCAGGCTAGCCACACAATTTAACAGCTAATTCCACCATATCACTTTAACGAACAGAAAAGTAAAAATAGGTATCACTGGACGCAATAAGCATTTAAATACTCAAACTAAATTACAAATTAAAATGAATAGGCGTAAGTATTTTTATGATTTTAACAATAAATAATTACGATAGTGAGGATTACTGCTGTTTTCCTTGTTTTAAAATGCAATATGATCTTTTTTTATTTTTTATGTAATTCTAAATGTTACAATATTATAAAACTTTAATATTAATCCAATCCAACTTTATTTATGAATCACTTTAAAATTTCATAAAGGACCAAAGTGCTGTACAGGGAGACAACATAACACCATTACACAGACTCAAAAAAAAAACATACAAGCATAAAAGACAAGATTAAAAACCACAGCTATAAAATCTATAATAAAATAAAAATAAAAGTAATTTACCGTACAATGATGTATCACAGACTCAAATCAACATCTCACACAGCTTAGAAAGCCAAGGCAAAGAGATGGTTTTTTAGATTTATAATCAGACAAAGAAGTGAAGACAATTTAATTTGCATTGGAAGGTCGTTCCACATTTTTGGAGCCGGCACAGAGAAAGCATGATCGCCCCTAAGCTTCCGTTTAGTTTGGCACCTCAAGAAGCAGCTGATCGGCTGACCTGAGTGAATGGGAGGGTGCATGAAGGTGCAGCAACTCAGAAAGATAAGATGGAGCAAGACCATGGAGACACTTAAAAACAAATTAAAGAATTTTAAAATGAATCCTAAAATGTAC